CTGTTAGAATGTACACACCACCAAAAAAAAAAAAAAAAGGATTTTATCTGTGATATTTACTGCTGTATTCTCAGTATCAGGATCAACACCTGTCACACAATCAGTGTGTCATAAATAGTGACTGAATGAATAAATAGATAAGGATAATGAGGTTCTGAGATGTGTAAGTACTTGTCAAGTATTGAAGATGAAACCTGAACCCAAGACTAACTTCAAAGTCATTGCTCTTAATCACAAGGCTGCATATCACCTTTTCTATTAAAAATAACAGCAACTTGCATAATGAAGGTAACTTGTAAAGTGAAGGTATTTCTATTAGTACAGCCTATACTAATCAAAACACCCTTTGAAAAAGGATTTTTTTCTAAGGAATGAGAATTTTCCTTCAAATAACTGAAAACCAATTGTCGTCCAGTCAATTCCTACTCATAGCAACCTTATAGGGCAGAGTATAACTTCCCCATAGGGTTTCCCAGGCTGTAATCTCTATAGAGCAGCTATTCGAACCACAAACCATTCAGTTAGCAGCTCAGCACTAAGTACTGCACCACCGGGGCTCCTTCTTTAAACAAAAAAAACCTGTAAATTATAAAAAAAAAACCTGTGCTTGCATCATGTAGAATAAGTACATACTCAACCAACAGCTCTTGCTGCCACTTTCTTTTTCTATATATAAATTTCAATAGCACCCTATACATTACTATTAAAATTCATCCAAAGAGCTACTTTTTTTTTTGATGAGTAAGCACTTTGAAAATTTGCTAACAGACTAAAATACTGAGCAGTATTTAGTAACTGTCTTCCACATGCCAAAGTCAAAATTACAATTTAGTCCTATTTTTCATATGGATCACAGCAACAGCAATAACCTTGTTACTATTCTTGTTTCCAATCAGGTCTCCTCTTCTTCAAATATACACCAAGCATTTCTGCCAGTTATCTTTCCAAAACCCAAACATCATAATGACACTTTCTTTTTTTTTTTTTTTTTTAACATCTTCCATAGCTTCTCATCTCTTTTAAAGTTGAAAAATACTATATTAGGCCTTTTACAAGCCAGACACCCAATTACATGCCAACAATTCATACACACACATATCACAGAGCCTTCAGATACTATGTATCCCCTATTTGGAATACTTGTCATAGAACTGCTTTCAAAATCTTCCAATTCATCCACAACTCTCACTTTTCCAATGACCCTACTCATTGTCAAAATACATCTAAAAAATTAGGTCCCCTGAGGAAGTTTTACCTGATTCTTCCGTATTTAAATTAAAGACTCTTTCTCTGCACAACCTTAGTACTCTGTATTCACATACATCTATTACAAAATTGAACATTTACATTAATTCATTCCGAATTTTAGTCTATGAACACCTGTATATATTTGCTGAATGAAAAAAAATTACATGATTTAATATTAAATACAGCTATAGTGGTGCAGTAGTTAATGTATTTGGTTGCTAACCAAAAAGTCAACAGTTTGAACCTACCAGCCACTCCACAGGAGAAAGATGAGCAGTCTGCTTCTGAAAAGGTTTACACTCCTTGGAAATCCTATGGGGCAATTCTACTCTGTCTATAGAGTCACTAGAATTGGAATTGAGTCAATGGCAGTGGGTTTTTGTTTGGGTTTGTAATATCAAATAAAGTTATCTATACATTTTTCTCCATTTTTGATAACATTAACAAGAAATAGGTTGGAATACTAATTACACCCACCAGCCACCCCTCAGGAGGAAGATTGGGCAATCTACTTCCATAGTGATACTGCCTTGGACACCCAAAGAGGGGTCGCAAGTCAGGTCCAACTCTACGGCACATAACAACAACAACAACAATTCAAGGAGTTACTGTAGTGATAAAGGTTATTCTCTCAACCACACTAACCAAAGCACCATAAAGAAACATTCCTGAAACAATAACTTCTCAGAATGCTATTTTGAAGGGCAGCCTAATAAAAATGTTATTCTGTAGTTCTGGATCTTCAGTTCCACTAATCTAAAATCAGCTGGCACAGAACATTCAAAGAGCAGTTGCGGTGTAGTAAATTACTTAGTGTGGCTTTTCTACCCCTAAGTCTTTGTAAACTCCAAGGTGGGAACTGCTATTAGCAACTGAGGAGACCCTGATTGCTAAAGTCGCCCACCTGGAGTATTTCTGTTGGGAGTGGCACAAAACAATGTCCTGGGAGGTGGCCACTCTCTCTCAAGTGCTTAGAGTTCTGATGCTACGATTGGCTAGTTTGGCCACTCTGCCAGGCTCAAAAGGAGGCCTCCTAGAGGCAGAACTCTCTCTCTGACTGCTGGTTGAGGAAGATGTGCTGCTGAAAGAGACATGCGCTCCGGAAAGAGACGTGCTGCTGGAAAAGATACACAAGAAACGCATTGCTGAGTGAGACACCGAGGGACCAGCATTGCTGGGAAAGAGACTGTGAGACTGTTGGCTGAGGGATGGTGGGCTGGGAGAGAGACTGAGCATTTTTCCTGACCTTGAATTGTAGCCTGTGGTGCTTCCCTAATAAACCCCATAATCTGTGAGCTCTGTGTGGCCACTGCAGCGAATTATCGATCCCTGGAGAGAGGTGGTGGGTGCTTTGGGAGGAATGGTTGAAGAAAGGGCTGGAGGGAGGCAGCATGTCTGGCCTTGCAGTAACAGGCCTTGCGCTATTGATGGTGATTCTGCCTTCCTCTTGTGGGGTTCTAGGAGGTCAGAAGATGTGGCCTCCTTGCCGTTTTTTGCAGCAGTATTCTTATCACTTCCCCAATACTCCTTTACCTTTGAATTCTTTCACTCTCCTTATTTTCTTCCTTGTTCACATTCACAACACAACTTTCTTTCTTTGGGTCCTTGTGTCTTTGTTACCTGTCACTGTTAAATTACTATCAATTCCAGCTCATGATGACCCCATGTGTGTACATAGTAGAACTGTGTTCTATAGGGTTTTTAAGGGTGTGACCTTTAAGAAGGAAACAATCTTACTTACAAGGCACCTCTGGGTAAATTTGATCAACCAAGCTTTCAGTTATGTTTAGTTAGCAGTCCAATGCTTAAACATTTGTGCAAGGCAGGCAATCTTTGTTATATTATTATTTTAATCTCTTTGATTGTGTTTTAGGTGAAAATTTACACAGCAAATTAGGTTCCATTTAACAATTTTTATACAAATTGTTCCATGACATTGGTAATTTTATAGTGTTGTCACTTTCCACTCTGTTTATTCTGTTTCCATTGATCTAGCTTCCCTTTCCCTCCTTCCTTTTCTTTTTTTGTTTAACTAAGGAGCTCTAGTAGCATAGTGGATAAGGCACTTGACTGCTAACCAGAAGGCTGGCGGTTCAAACCCACCAGCCACTCCTGGGAAGGAAGGTTGGGCAATCCTACTTCCGAAGTGATACTGCCTCGGAAACCCAAGGAGGGATCGCTATGAGTCAGGGCTGACTTGACGGCACATAACAACAACAACAAGTGAAAATTATACTTTACACCCTTTTATGCATTGAATTGTGTTCTCCAAAAATGTATGTTATAAATACTAGGTGTGGTTCCTAAGGCATTTAATGCTAACCAGAAGATTGGCTGTTCAAACCCACCAGCTGCTCCGTGAAAGGAAAATGGGGCAATCTACTTCTGTAAAGATTTACTGCCTCAGAATTATGAGTTGGAATTGACTCAATGACAGTGAGTTTGGGCTTTTTTTTCTTTTTTTTTTTAAATAGGTGTGGAGGATTCAGAATTGGGTTTATAATCTTAATATGATCCCATTTGGGGCTAGTTTTTTTTTTTTTTTAATATTAATTAGGCCATATCAGTGCAGGGCTGTATTAAACCAATCACTTTTGGTTGCAGATTAGACACTGAAACAAACAGGAATAAGGAAAGATAGATGCCATGTGGAGATCTCTAAGTACTCTAAGAATGCTAGGTGTTGAGAAAAGGATTTTCTCCCAGAGAAGACAGAAAAAGCCTATTCCTAGAGCAAGCACTCTGAATTGGGACTTGTAGCCTCCTAAATTGTAAGAGTGGCTGCAATAATGGCCTCAAACACAGAACAATTGTCAGGATGGTACAGGACTGGTCAGTGATCCATTCTATTGTACATGGGTTGCTATGGGTCAGAACAGACTCGATGAGGCCTAACAAATACTCTTTTACCTTTGAATTCTTTCACTCTCCTTATTTTCTTCCTTGTTCACATTCACAACACAACTTTCTTTCTTTGGGTCCTTGTGTCTTTGTTACTTGTAAAAAAAATATTATGTCTGTTCATCAATTTGTGGTATTTTAGATATAGCAGCACTAAGAAGTTAAGACACTCCTTCTCCCACATTTCTCATTAAAACACAAAACAAATTCACCTCACCTCTACCTTTTGGAAAACCCAACGCATTAGACAGGCAATAATGACATCAGAGATAATAATGGCATCTAATCTAATTATTGGTTCCACTAACCTAATAGAACCAATTGTTGTTGTTTTGCCATCGAGTCAGCCCCGACTCATAGCGACCTCTCCTTGGGTTTCCGAGGCAGTATCACTACGGAAGTAGGAATGCCCAACCTTCCTTCCGAGGAGTGGCTGGTGGGTTTGAACCGCCAGCTTCTGATTAGCAGTCAAGTGCCTTAGCCACTATGCTACCAGAGCTCCTAAAATAGAACCAATAGAAAGTCTTAAATAAGTATCAGTTAGTTCTTTTGTATCTTGTAAAAGAATAATTTCAGTTTACATTTTGCCAAACTTAACCACAATTACTGAAAAAAAAACCTAGAATCTTATCATGAAGCATCTAACTATGAAGAAAAATAACAAATGATTGAATATTGACATATTTGCAATAATCAGCATCCAAGGGTTCAATGCCAGTGAGTTTGGTTTGGTTTTGGAGACTTCCACATTACTGACTGCAAAAATAAATACTCAAAAATACCAGTTCCAATGGCAAAATTCAATGACATTTTAAAATGAAATATAAGTGGATATATAATACATTACTTGCCTTCCTTCATTGACAAGTTCAATAAAAGCAAGGCCTGCATTCTTCTGAATAGAATTCTGCCACTCCTAAAAAACAGCAGAAAATAAGATGAAATTTTTTTATGCAGCAGGTTATCTCTTTTAAAACAATAATGATGAAAGTATCACATGTATCAATTTCATACCTTGACTCTGGAAGAAAAAGTTTCCTCAAACATGCTGTCTACACAATACAGCCTCATGAACACATGAATAATATGGAAACATACATTAAATGAGTAATAGTTTGACTCGATATACACTAAATAAGCTTATCAATATTTATCTTGTCCTTAGTGTTCGATACTAAGATATATTAATTTAACTGAAATAGTTCCCGACTCTTAAAATGGTTCAAAGGGGCTAAATGTAACAGTATCCAGTAAATGTAACAGTATTCAGTAGCTATAAGTGAGAAATCTTAAGGTTTGATATTTCAAATAAACATCATCAAAACAGATTTCCAAGAACCATTATCCTTATACAAGATTACACATATTGATATTATCTATAATTTGCTATAAATACTTACCTCTGTATTTGCAAATTAAAATATTCCAATTATAAAAACCACATCAAATAAGAAATGAAGTCTCCCTGGATTACACCAATATCACTACAGATAGAAGAAATGCATGAGGTATTGGTACAACCTATGACCTATGACTGGCCAAGATCCACTAATGTAATAAAGTAGAAATTAATATAAAGATCCACTAATGTAATAAAGTAGAAATTAATATAAAGCTTGTCTGTTGAAGCCAAAAAATGTCTTTTTTCCTATAGAGGCCAAACAATACAGTTTTAATCTGTCCATTTCAAGGTCATCTGAACAGCAACCTTAACTCCATCTACTTTAATTTCTCCTTGTCATATAACATAGCATATCCACAAGATACGATCATCTTTGAGGGGCCAGTATTCTGTGTACCCAGTGGGAAAAGGTCAAAAACTTGTAGACAAAAATGAAACTTCAAAACTGACTGTCCTTATGCTTTGTTGTTGTTGTTGTTGTTGTTATGTGCCGTCGAGTCGACCCCAACACATAGCAACCCCTCCTTGGGTTTTCAAGGCAGTATCACTACGGAAGTAGGATTGCCCAACCTTCCTTCCGAGGGGTGGCTGGTGGGTTTGAACCGCCAGCCTTCTGGTTAGCAGTCAAGTGCTTTAGCCACCATGCTACCAGAGCTCCTGTCCTTATGCTTTATCTACATGTATGTATATGTCATTTTGTCTACCCCATAAGACACTCACAAAATACACTAAATTAAAAAAAGTATACTACAGATCCATGACTTGTCTGTCAATTTACTGTACTGTGGTAGCTGGCATGTAGTTGTGAGGCTGAAGGCTATGTCACCAGTGTTTCAAATACCAGCTGGGTCACCCATGGTAGACAGGTTTCAGCAGAGCTTCCAGACTAAGACAGACTGGGAAGAAGGACAGGGCCATCCACTTCTCAAAAACTCGGGCAGTGAAAACCTTACAAATAGCTCTGAAACACTTTCTAATATACTACTGGAAAATTTTATGAATAGCTCTGAGAAGTTGTCTGATATAGTGCCAGAATACAAGCCCCTTAGGTTGAAAGGCACTCAAAATACGACTGGGGAAGATTCTTCCCCAAAGTAGAATTGACATTATAAACATGGAGTAAAGTTTTTGAGACCTCTATTTGGTGATGCGGGGGGGGGGGGGGGGGGGGGGGGGGAGTCTGCAAACACCCATTAATAATCGGAATGAGGAATATACAAAGTATAAATCCAAGAAAATTGAAAGTAGTCAAAAATGAAACAGAATGCAAAAAGATCAATACCCTAGGCATTACTGTGCTGAAATGGACTGGTATTTGCTCTTTTGAATCAGATAATCATATGATCTACTGTGCTGGTAATGACAAACTGAAAAGCCAGGGTGCTTCATTCACTGTCACAGAGAACATTTCAAGATCTATCTTGAAGTACAATGCTGTCAGTGATAGGATAATATCCAAATGCCTACAAGGAAGACTAGTTAATACTACTATTCTTCAAATTTATATACCAACCACTTAAACCAAAGATGAAGCAATTTACGATTTTTAACAACTTCTGCAGTCTATAATTGACCAATCATGCAATTATGATGTCCTGATGATTACTGATGATTGGAATGCAAAAGGTGGAAAACAAAGAACAATCATTAGACATTGGAAAATACAGCTTTGGTGACAGAAATGACACCAGAGATAGCATGATAGAATTTTGCAAGACCAACAACTTATTCGTTGCAAATGCCTTTTTTCAACAATGTAACAGCAGCTCTACACATGGACTTCACCAGACGGAACACACAAGAATCAGATTGACGACATCTGGGGAAAGAGGAAATGGAGAAGCTCAATACCATCATCAAACAAGGCTAGAAGCAGACTGTGCAACACACCATAAGATGCTCACATGAAAGTTTAAGTTGAAGCTGAAGAAGATTAAAACAAGTCCACAAGAGTCAAAATATGACCTTGATTATATTCCACCGGAATTTAGAGACCATCTGAAGAACAGATCTGATGCACTGAACACCAATGACTGAAAAACAGACGAGTTGTGGGATGACACCAAGAACATCATACATAAAGAAAGCAAATGGTCAATAAAAGGACAAGAAAGAAGAAAAGACCAAAATACCTATCAGAAGAAACTCTGAAACTTGCTCTTCAATGGAGAGTAGCTAAAGGAAATGGACCAAATGACAAGATAAAAGGGCTGAATAGAAGAATTCAAAGGGCAGCTTGAAAAGATAAAGTATTATGATATGTACAAAGACCCAGAGTTAAAAAATCAAAGGAAAAGAACATGGTGCCATTTTTCAAGCTGAAAGATATATATACACGCACTCACATACACACATCTATACACAGTCGCACACTCATGCATACATAAATATTTGTGATATTTATACTCCTTACCACTACCTCTTTTTGTATTCTGGCTATAAAATATCCGTAAACTGGTCTCTTTTTGATCTTTCAAACATCCCAGAACAAAAAACTATGTGAAGCTACTTCCCACTGCTCACCATAAACAATAGTCATACCTTCTGAATATCTTTAATAATTTTAAATTTATGTAATTTCACCCATGATAGCTGCTCTGCTTCACTACAGAATTCTTAATTTTTTCAACTCATCCTTTCTACTTTCTCCTTTTTACCCTATTGGGTACTACTCTGTTTTGTGTTTTGAAAATTCCACGGTGGCCTTCAAGTATATTCTGTTCCACAAACAGTGTTTATAAGATGATATTAATGGGATGTATTGGTTACACATATGAGGGCTAGATATGGCAAAGAAGATAAAGCAATGTATAGTTGAAACAATAACCAACGAGTCACAACTGTGTTCTCAGTCTGATACTGACACTAACAAGGATATGACTTTGGACATATTAGTTTTCACCTCCAGGTTTGATACACCCTCTTTAAAAAACTATCCAGATATAATATTTTATGATTCTATAATATACAAACATTAGGAATTATTGACTCATGAGTCAACAAAATATACACTCTGAAATCCACAGTTGCTACTCAACTGAAGCAATTTAAAAAAAAAAAAAAAAACCTCACTGCCATTGAGTTGGACCCGACTCGTAGCGACCCTTCCTTGGGTTTCCAAGGCAGTATCTCTACAGAAGTAGATTGCCCTATCTTCCTTCTGAGCAGTGGCTGGTGGGTTTGAACCACCAGGCTTAGGGTTAGCAGTCAAGTGCCTTAGGTACTATGCCACCAGAGCTCCTAAAGCAACAAGGATTCTTGTATTTCATTCACTGAGGTATACTAAACCAAATGAAAAATAGAAATGCCTAATAAACCTAAAACTTGTTCCTTTCCATGAAGTGAGATAAACAGGCAGGGAATTCAAAGGGAAATAATAAAATTCTGTATAGGAGTATATCCCAGAGGAAGGTGTCAAGCTGTTGTCACTTCTCAGAAGGTTGGAGAAAAAGGATGGAGTAAAGCAGAAACTCTGGATAAGATTTTTGATCGTGGTACAAAGAATCCCACATCTCATTTCCCAGAAAGAGCAGCAAGAGATACCAACCTTCAAAGGGCTGCCCAAACCCAGTAATTCATAGGAACAGTAGAGATGGGGTTAATGGCAGATAGACCTAAAACAGCTTCCAAGTTTCTCATGCCCTACCAAAACTTAAAAAATTATTCAAGATATAGAAGTAGCTAAGCCTTTGAGGGGATGAAGAGAACACAACAGCTACGATTGTTGTGAATGAACAACAGAAAAACCGTAAGGGACTTCGTGATATATCAGGGGATGCCGTAGCCAAGGAACAGAAGCATGTGACCATTCCTCAGTTCTTACACCAAACACAGCCCTCTTGGCAAGCCACCTGGAAGTTAGATACAGCAAAAGAATATGGGGAGACAAGACTATAAATTGAGAGATCTCTCAGATGACTTAATTGAAGGAAAAGATTAAAAGAGAAATAAAGTTCAGGAAAAGGAAAGTTACTTCCACTGCTAGAAAGAAAGAAGTCAGAAGAAAGGCAAGGGGTACTCCATAGAATTTCCTGTGTAGACTTATTTAGATGAGTCATTGTATTTTAAAAAATGTTTCCTAGTCTTCTACTTGTCATACTCACTTTGTTGATCCAAAAATGCAACATGTGGGGGTTTTAATCTATAATTAAAACAAAACTCAAAACTTCACATAGATAAAAACCAAGGACAACAAACTTTACATGAATGTTGTTAATGTTGTTGTTAAGTGCCGTCGAGTCGTTTCCGACTCATAGCGACCCCATGCACAGCAGAACGAAACACTGCCCGATCCCGCACCAGCCCCACAATCCCTG